TGTTCGTTACATCACCAAGACTTCTTAATACAATGGAATAGTTTGAAAACAACAATAAAATACAGAAAATAACTGATCAACCCAACATCCTGGATGTCGTGTGGAAAATGAAATCAGTCTCTCAAAAGGCACATATCATGTGGCCAATTTATTACATTTTTGAAATTCCAAATTAAAGAAATGGAAAACACTTTAATGATTGCCAGAGGATATGCAAGAGGAAGTAGAGAAAGGTAGCTTAGTTATAAAAAAGGCAACATCGATGCTCCTCATCGATCTAGATCTGTTCTCTTGCAGCGGTAGCTGCATCCCTGAGACAGGATTGTGAAGGTCAGGGTAAACAGATTTGGCCGCGTTGGGAGCCTGGTCACCAGGGCTGCTTTTAAGTCTAGCAAAATGGATGTTGTTGTCATCAATGACCTCTTCATTGACATCAACTACATAGTATATGTGTTCTAGTATGAGTCCTCCCAGGGCAAGTTTAACAGCACTGTATTTTAATGTTAATTATTTTGATGCAAGACATCGCTTGATGGAAATTGGGGAAAAGGTACACACAATCTCTCAGTATAATTTTTTATAACTGTGTATAAATATACAAACATATCAAAATAACAATTATATTTTTTAAGTTAGATAAGTATGGTTGAGTGTGGTAAAATTTCAGAAAAGTTTATGTAGTGAATGTTGTTGTTATTATTAGTTGCCGTCAAGTAGATGACTCATAGTGAAAGACTGAATGAAAGACCTGAGCACTGTTCACAGAGTTTCCGGAGGCAAGCCATTTTGGAAGTAGATGCCACTTTTGCTTGTCGTAATCAGGAAGCTCCCCCAAACACTGCCCATCATGGGTAACCATTATCACATTTGGTACATCAGTGTTACAGTGTTTAGCATCATAGCAACCATGAATTACCTCTGTAGAGCAATGAACAGACCAGTGTATAATACTACCTAGAAGAATAAAAAAAACCCAAAACCCAAAAACAACAATTTGAACCAGTAATTGCAAGTTTTTTGGGTCATATGCTTTTTTGGCCTTGTGTTTGATATGAAGTACTTCTCTCCCCTCCCTCTCAAGAGCGAGGTCCTTGAGGCTTGGCCGAGGGTTTAAGGCAGAAGGTAGCTTAAATCCCAGAAGGGCAAGGGGAGGAGAAGGATGTAGTGAATAAGATTTAAAAAGAAAAAAATCTTATTTTTCAGTGGCATATTGCTTAAAAGAAATTTGTCCAAGTTCTACATATTTATAGAAGTAAACATTATACCAAATATTTTCAAGTAAAAACAAAATGACATGCATGTGGATGTCGAGGGATGTATTTTCTTCTCATTACTTATTTAGAATGCATATATAATTTTGGTTCCCAAGATTGGTTAAAAGTATTACATATCATCAATTCACCGATTTCTAAAGTTTGAAAAGGTATATATTGGGAGTATATAACCTTTTCTTAGATGTGAAATAAGGTGACAAGTCTCGGAGTTCCTTTCTCAT